TGTTAATCAACGGCCCCCCCCCCCCCCCCCAACGTAAATACACCCCTGCCCTAGTTAAAATTCCAGATCAACCTTGATAGTGAATAAATATCTAGGCAGGTAACACTTTACTCCTAAAATACGTTTTTTTTGTGTGAATCAGACTTTATGGGAACTTTTTTTTAAAAAAAAAAAAAAGAAAAAAAAGAAGAGATGGTGTATAAATCATTGTTACACAAATTGCTGAGATATTTTAAAACTAGGTCCCAAAATTAATTGCTCAACAAATTTCTGGGTAGAGATAGAATTTCATTTTCCACTGTAAGCAATTATTTGTGGACTCCAATTTACCATTTATTATTATAGTACTACTGGATAACACTTCAGCCCCATTGTGACCTTTTTTAGAAATTATTCTATACACACGTCACTTCAATTTTTTAACCTTTTGGAGCGTATCAAAATCCGCTTTATAGTATGCTATATAAAGGGTTAATACATAAACACATCTATATGTAAACGTTTAGATAGTGGGGTATTTGTGCTCCGTCTTATTATATCGGAATTATTACAATTTTGTTTTTCGCTCATTATCTATGATAAAAGTTATTCTCGCCTTGCTACATACTTTTTCATTTCTAATTTCTTATCTCTTCTAATATGTTCGTACATTTATTTAAACATCTTCATTTTTTGTATATACTTTTATTTTTTGGACATGTGAGTTTTTGACTTACTATACATCCATTTAACTCTATATTTCCAAGGATTAACTAGTATATAGGAAAGATAAGAAGTAGTTGTGATGTTGACTTCTCATCCACAAAAAGTACCCCATTACATATACTCATGATTTCTACACATTTTATTTTGGACTATATTCTCTTTCTCTCTTTTTAATACTATTAGTTAATCTCCAAGTCTTTCTTCAATTCTTCTCACTTATATCATCCATTAGTTCCACAAGCAAAAAAAAAAAAACACAAACCAAAAAAATTAACTTCTAAGTTCATGGGTTTGCATTTACTGATTATTTTAAAGCTGAATTTGAGAGCATCTTCTCTGAGTTTAAATACTCCTTTAATTATAAGTTTATTATGCCCTTTTATAATAAGGCTAGCAGCTTGTTCGTTTAAACCACTTCATCAAATTCACTATAATTTGGTTTATTCTATGAGGCTTTTTTTCTTCCAGATGAGCCAAATTACCTTCAATTCTCAACCCCCTGCACCTACGCGGTGGGAAAGAGCTGTTCGTCTTGTCTACGAGAGATTCACACGTGCAAGGCACACACAATTTCAAGAGATGGATGAGGAGAGCTTGCGTGCTCTCTCCATGATTGCTCTTTGAACTAAGATTTGATTTCTCACGGACGTTCTGTCCATGAGAAATCAGGAATTTAAGGTGGGAAACAATTTTCCCACGAGCACATATTCTGATGAAGAGGTAGATTTTGAATTTAAATTCGAAGATCTAAGTGCTTGTCGATCTATCGATCGTATTACTTTTTAAGTTACGATTTAGTAGTTTAGTATCTTTTGATTGAAAGTTTAGTTAAAAATAATAATATTAGGTAAGTTGGATCTGTTGATATATATATATAAAATACACTGGCGTTGTGGTACATTTCAAAGCTTCTTTTGTCGGTACTGTTGTTTTTTAATCATGTACAATTTCTGTTTCAAAGTTTTTTGGTTTCTTCCGTCAGCAATAAGTACCAGAATGTTTAAATTGCTAAATAGATTAGCTTAAAATATGGCGATTATTTTATTTTAGCTGCTAAATATGCGTTAAAATTTGTAAAGCATCTCTTTTAAACAAGGAATTTGTGGTAGGTAAAGTGCCAGCAAATAGTTAGGTGCCTATGAGCAGCCTGGCAACAATTTAAAGCAGCAGTCATGTAAGTGATTGTGGGGGAAAAATAAAAACAAAAACTGAATAAAGAAAATAATGTCATTTTTTCAAAAGGCATAATACATAAATATATCATTTAACTTAGCCTCATTTTATATTTATGTCATCCAATTTTGAGTGTGCACAAATAGACACGTAAATTTGTATAAAGTTGAACATATAGACACACGAGTCCTATGTGTCACAATACATGTAGGACACCACGTAGGACATAAATTTCCATGTAGGATGCCATGTAGAACGTTTGTGTCTATTTGTTTAATTTTATACAAGTTTAAGTGTCTACTTGTGCGCACCAAAAATTGGAAGGCATAAATATGAAATAAGGCCAAATTAAAGAGCATATTTATGTATTATGCCTTTTCAAATATTGAACTTTTAGACGAGATAATTTATGTGTTTTTAACATTTCCTCTAATTTTAACTAGAGAACCTTGATTGCCATAATTACGAAATAGCTTTACTAGTTGTTACGATAATTCATTCACTTTAAAGTTTAGATAAGACTAGGAATGACACATCAACCATAAACCTGTCCAATCTGTTTAGATTTAGATGAGTTAATGACCCGTTTAGTTTGACTTGTTTAAAATCTGAGTTGATATATCGTTTATTTTGACCTATAAGAAATTCTATTTAAATTTTTTTAAGAATATTTTTAATATGGTATGTAGTCATAATATATGGAAACAAGTAATTTCTGGACGGATCAATAACCCACTTATCAACTCAACTCATTTTAATATACTTAATTTCAACTTAATCCATTCATTTAATACTCATAAATTAGACTACTAATAAGAAAACAAAAATTGCAAAAGCATCTAGGGAAGGTGAAGAAAATGTACAAGTGAAATGAATTCATTTGATGTGACATTAATATGTTACATTGCAAGCTGGAGAGCTTTTCTCCTTACCGGGACTAATCAAGGAGAGAATATCTGGGGAAGGTTTAAATGGAATGGTACGATCCCTCCGTCACCCCAGAATGAAAGGGGTGATCTCGTAGTTCTTGGTCTGTGAAGATGCGTTGTTAGGTGCTCCATTTTATTTTCCCATTGAGGTCGAACCTAAACCTGTGCTCGAGAGATAGCTGTCCATACACTGATAAGGGATGTATGGATTCTCGAGAAGAGAGGAGCCGTGGTGGTCCTCCCCGGACCGCTGCTATTATCGTATTGAATTTTGTTCCACGTCACAAAAACAACATCCTCTTTGTTGATGTCGAATTTTCGGTAAAAAATATCCGTTATATCTAAAACTTAATCTACACGTACCCTTCAATTAATATATATACTACACAAAAATTGTTGGATATATTGTTTGAGAGAAGACGGGCACTATCGATTTCTCATAATTTAAATTTTATTATATATTAAAGTAAGGATTCACTTCGGTCTTATAATCTTGATCACACTTGTTACGTGCTTCAGCAACACTCCTTACTTGAGCACTCACACTTGCTTGCTCTCTTGCTTTCTTACCTACTTGGTTTGTTACTTAGTTTCTTGCTTGGTTGCAACTCAAATGGACCACCTCTATTTATAGGAGGTGATGGAAGAATCTAGAGAAATACATACTATTCTATTCTAGAATATTCATAGCTATTTTTTTCTAGAACTACCTTTCTAGAACATTTCTAGACTGTTCTCTCTAGAATACTCATTCTAGAGATTTTCCTTCAATTCTCTACAACTCCGGAATATTCTAGATTTTTCTTGATTTATCTTAAAGTAAATAATTAAGTTGGTTATGAATTCTTAACAAAAATCACAGTGTATTCAATGTTAATTAGCCTTGTTTTGGTGCTAAACTTTGATGGTGCCAAATCAGATAACATGAGAAATGTAAGAACAAGAAGTGAATGACGGGGATTTTTGGATTGCATTCGTACCGCAAATAATGGAAAACAGAGCTCGGGGCTTGTTGAAGTAGCTAGGTTAAGTTCGTTTGGTTCGCGTTGATCATATCTTATGTTTATCCTGAATATTTTTTTATTCAAGTCACGTTTATCCTGAATATAATTAATATATCATGTTTTATGTTTAATTAAAGCAATTGGTTACCTGACTTCTTAATTAAGCACTAAAATGACTCATGTTGGTTTGCATGGAAAACGGTTAAGACGAAGGATAAATTACAAGAAGTGGCGTTGCCTAAATTTAATTACTAAAATTTATTAAATGACAAATACAAAACTAGCATACTCCCATTTCTTTCTGTAAACCGAATTTTTTTTAAAGAGAAATCAATCTAAGTAGAGCAAAATAAAGATCAGATAGGCAATTTCATTGTCTGCAGATATTATTTTTTGGTCAACATATATATGTGGGTACAAACAAATTGAATTTCATTGAAATTGGAACCTAATATAAATACTTCAAGGAATTAAAATAAACATTTAATTTTAACCAAGGGAGAGGGCACGGAAACACTTTTCAATTCGGCTTAATTCCCTTGCGACATGAATCATGTATGGTCTATCATCTCCGTTTTCAGCTATGCATTTCCTAGCAAGATCGGAGAAGTCTTTCAATTGTTGTTGAATCTCAATTCCATGCTCTTCTAAGATAGTTGCATCCACAATATCCAGTACATTACCCTCTTTGATATAGTGATCGACAGAGTAATTGGTTGGAACATTTTTAAAATCTGTTGTCTCTTTTGAATTTGCAGTATCCACTCTATCCATAGAATTACCCTCTTCAGTATTTGATTTAGCGTCTTCTCCAAAATCTATGGTCTCTTCTGAATTTATAGAATCCACCACGAGATCCATAATATCGTACACTTTCTTTCCGATTAATAGCTCAAACAGAAGAACCCCAAAGCTGTAGACATCAGTTTTTTGAGTACTAATACCTGAGGCGATATTTTCTGGAGCTATATACCCATATGTTCCACACACAATATCTACTACCTCCAATTCCCCTGGAGGTAATGATATGGAGAGTGAGAAGTCCAATATTTTGGCAGCGCCGCTCTTCTCATCTATTATCACATTAGATGGCTTTATATTTCTGTGGATGATGGGCGTAGAAAATTCAGTATGGAGGAAAACGATTGCAGAAGCGACGTCACGTGCAACTCGTAATCTATTTCCCCAACATAGCGATTTTCTATTAAGATTAACCTTTTTGAAAAGTAGATCGCTCAGAGTTATAGCCCCAACATATTGATACACCATAACTGGTTGTTCAAATTCTAGACAGCAACCAACAAGTCTCAACACATTCTTCAGATGACTCATCTGAGCAGTAATCGCTATATCTCGGTGGATATTTCTGGATAAACAAAATTTGTTGAATCTAACTAAAACAGGGCGGTTGTCCAGCGAGCCCATAACCATATCCACTTTGTCAAGCTTCATTATTGTGGTTTTAGAGTGTTTTATTGCATTGTTGATCTCTATGGCAGAGAAGTAACGGATGGGAATTCTGCAATTTCCGTCGCATAAAGCAAGAAGCTCCTCAAGCACGCGACTTCCATTCTGTAAATAACAATCATGCTCTTTCTTCCGTCTTTCTGCAGAGGCGGAGGAAAAAAGTTTTTTCCTTGTGAGTAGTCCTCTGAAAAAAGGCATCTCTAATTTTGGAAGTGACTAGTCTGGATGAATTGCGATTAAATCCAATAAGGCATATCACTACTCACAAGTGGGAAGCTGCTTCCTGCTGGTCTTAATTTGTGCATTCAATTCCATACAAAATGACAACAAATTGAGTTTCCAAGCACTTTCATTGAAAATTAACAATGGGGAGGCATATCAGTGTGGGTCACAAGGATGGAATATTGCATGCAATTGGAAAAACGTCTGTCATATAGTGCCTTACAACTTACAAGGCATGGGGTCCGGCCCGTCTTATAAGTGTGGTCACTCTCACGTCTTACATCGTAAGTTAGCGACCATTAACCTTTTTTGGCATAATATTTGAAGACAAACTACTTGATTAGACATACATTACTAACATGTATACTAATTTTACGAGTCCGGAGCCAAAAAGGTAAGAAAGTTTTTCAAAAATTTCAAAAGGGCAACAAAATTAATTATAAAACCAAAAGGGCAACTTTCTGACGGAGAATCAAACAACGTCTAAAATAGGGTAGCCGGCGCAATGCACGGATTTCCATGCACCTTGCAAGGCGCAGCTGTCATGAGCCCTGTAAGGCTCTGCCGTCATGCGCCTTGCAAGGCCCATGGAAATCAGCGCCTTGCGGCTGTTTTATTTTTTTAAATTTTTTTGTTCATTATTAAAAAACGAGTTAAATTTTCAATGGTTTGAAAATTATAAAGTATAGAACAATTGACTTCATATTTGGTGTTAGTCAGTGGGATATTAGGAAAAAAGTGACATTTTATTGAAGACACTACAATTAGTTAGCTAGTTAGTAATTAGCTAAATTAGTTAGTTAGTTGTAGATTAGCTGACGTGGCAGAGTAGTTAGTTAATAGTACAAGTTAGTTATAACTAACTTGATCAGTGGTGTGAAGTAAAGCACATGTATATATATTCTGTAGAATACTCTGTAACCAACTCATTCAATACAATACACAATTTTATTCTTTACTGTTGATCTTCTTCCTCTTAGACTCACAGAACCTCCATTGGAGGACTTAACATGGTATCAGAGCTAGAGATCGGATCAACAACAATGGCTACTGAAAATGAGCTCGTTATTCCTTACACACACCCTCTCTACTTGCATCCATCGGATACTCCAGGATCTGTGCTCTGTCCTGTTAAGTTGACAGGATCGGAGAACTATGGGTTATGGCGGAGGTCCATGCGAATTGCTTTGCAAGCTAAGAGGAAGCTGGGTTTTGTGATTGGAACCTGTAAGAAGGCAAGTTTTGAAACTAAGTATCATGATCAATGGGATACCTGTAATGCAATTGTTCTTTCATGGCTTATGAACACAGTAGCTCATAATATCTTAAGTGGCATTGTCTGAGTGCCCAAAGTCGAAGGATTATGTTGAGCATTTGCGACAACAACGACTGATTCAATTTCTTGGAGGTCTAAATGAGTCACATTCTCAGTCGAGGAGGCAGATCCTTATGAAGACTTCTGAGCCAACTCTCAATCAGGCGTATGCAATGATAGTGGAGGAGGAGAGTCAAAGTTCTGATGTGGATCGTAATACCTTAGGATTGAAGGCTGTATCTGAAGGAAATGATATCACAGCACTATTGACTGCTGCGAAAACTTTTCAAAAACCTCGATACAAGAATCCTAATGCCTTTTGTGATCACTGCAAGACGAAAGGTCACCTGAAGAGTGATTGTTTTCAGCTAGTAGGATATCCTTCTTGGTTTAAAGGAAAGAAGAAAGAGGGATACAATGTGCAATATAATGGATCTGCTTCACCTCATACTCCACCTGTGTTTAAATCCTGAGTATGGTGGTCATAATGCAGGGCATATGCCTGCACCTCTTTATGGCAATTTATCCTTTACTCACAATCATAATGCTGCAGGTGATATTGGCAGATCTGTTGGGGGCAATAGTCACATAGAAACTCACACTTATGGCACTGCTGGTTTTCCTACAACTCCAGGATCTGGTGTTTTTACTCGAGCATCTGCAGATATGTGCATTCCTGGATATGGAAATACAGGCTCTCATGGTCATGGAGTTAGTGGCATAAATATGGCTTTCACAGGAGCTCACTCATCTGATACTGCAGGTATTGTCAATTGCTCTGTAGTACATAATTCACCTGGTTCTAGGTGGATAGTAGACACAGGGGCCACTAATCACATGACATCTACTCCCACTTTGCTTTGTGAAACTCAATGTTTACCTCCAAATTAGCTCAACAAAGTTCACCTGCCTAATGGTCAACAAGTACCAATTGCTCTTACTGAGAAATCTAGACTCATGCAGAGAGACATATCTCATGTTTTGTATATTCCTGATTTTAACTACAACTTGTTATTAGTTTCTAAACTGACTAGAGAACTACAATGTTGTATGGTGTTTTTATCCTGATCATTGCCTACTGCAGGACCTTCACACTGGGGAGGTGAAGGGGACTGGTAGTCTGGAGAATGGTTTATACTATTGGCCACACAATGATTCTTCCATTATTGCTCTTTCAACTGCTTTAAGCGTGGTGGATACTGTTGATCTGTGGCATAGAAGACTAGGTCATATTCCTCACAAGGTTCTTCAGCAAATGCATATACCACATGTATCACTTCCTTCCAAATTACCTTCTTGTCCTGTTTGTCCATTGGCAAAACAAACTAGGTTGCCTTTTCCTCAAAGTACCAGTAGATCTAATAAAGTGTTTGAGCTGATTCATGGTGATGTTTGGGGTCCATACAGAACCCCCACTTATGATGGCAATAGATATTTTCTTACTTTAGTAGATGATTGTAGTAGGATGGTGTGGATATTTCTTCTCAAACAGAAAAGTGATGTGTTCTTTGTACTGAAGGATTTTCTGACTCTAATAAACAGGTAGTTTGATGGCTTTATCAGAGTTTTCAGAAGTGATAATGGTTCTGAATTCTTTAACTTTCATTGTCATGAATTGTTCAGATCTGCAGACATTATTCATCAAAGCTCTTGTGCCTATACCCCTCAACAGAATGGGGTTGTAGAGAGGAGACATAGGCAGATTCTAGAGGTTTCTCGAGCCATTAGGTTCCAAGCAAATTTACCTATCAGATTCTGGGGTCTATGTGTACAGAATGCTTTTTACTTAATCAATAGAATGCCATCTACTGCTCTTGCAGGGAAATCTCCATTTGCTGCATTTTTTGGCAGGGAACCTTGTTTGAAACATCTCAGGGTTGTTGGCTGCTTATGCTATGCTGTTAATCATAGTACCAACGGTGACAAGTTTGATCATAGGTCTATTAAATCAGTGTTTGTGGGATATTCTACTACACAAAAGGGGTATAGACTATATAATTTGTCCACCAAGTCCTTTTTTGTTAGCCGGGATGTCATTTTTAGAGAGGATGAATATCCTTTCAAGTCTACTCTGACTGCGATTCCTGAATCCTATCTAAATAATCCTCCTGACATGTTTGTTTATGATGATCAGAATACTTCTATTTTATTACCAGATATTCCTGCTGCACCACTTGACTTGCCTCATATACCCACTGTTCAGCCTTATGTACCCTCTGTTCAACCTCCACTTTCCTTACCTTCTGAGGATCTTATTCCTCCTACCAATGAGCCAAGTCTTAGAAAGTCGGGTCGATCCTCTAAACAACCTGGTTGGCTCCATGGTTTTGTTCATACTGTTGCTAGTTTTCCTTCACATCCTGTCCCTTGTTTTACTGCTCATCCTCAGTCCACTTATATGTCTTATGCATCCATATCCCCTGCTTATTTTCAGTCCTTGTGCAATTTCTCTGCTATACGGGAACCTACTTCTTATGAAGAGGCCATGCACAACCTATAGTGGATTCAAGCCATGGATCAAGAACTGCAGGCCCTCCATGATAATCACACTTGGGATTTGGTTACTCTGCCTCCTGGCAAGAAGGCTATAGGGTGTAAGTGGGTCTATAAAGTCAAGTTTAATGCTCAAGGAGAGGTTGAGAGGTATAAAGCTCGACTGGTAGCTAAGGGTTACACTCAGCAAGAGGGCTTGGATTACCAGGAAACATTTTCTCCGGTTGTCAAGATGGTTACTGTGAGGGTGGTTCTTTCTTTGGCTGATATGCATGGGTGGAATTTACATCAGATGGATGTGTTTAATGCATTTCTGCAAGGTGATTTAGTGGAGGATGTGTATATGGTTCCTCCACCTGGTCTACTAAGCAAGGGGGAGTCTCCAGATGGATGTGTTTAATGCATTTCTGCAAGGTGATTTAGTGGAGGATGTGTATATGGTTCCTCCACCTGGTCTACTTAGCAAGGGGGAGTCTCCTTCAGTTTGTAAGCTCAGGAAGTCCCTTTATGGCTTAAAACAAGCATCTCGTCAATGGAACTTGAAGCTATGTGAAGCTCTTCTGAGTTCAGGTTTTCTACAAAGTCATCATGACTACTCCTTGTTCAGCAAATGTTCTGGTTCTGATTTAGTTCTCATCCTCGTTTATGTGGATGATCTTTTGATCACTGGTTCCTGTTCTCAGTTAATTCTTGATACCAAGCTGATGCTTCAGACTCATTTCAAGATCAAGGACTTGGGGAGATGAGATACTTCCTTGGTCTTGAAATTGCCAGGAACAAAGAGGGTATCATGGTAAGTCAAAGAAAGTTTGCCTTAGATCTTATCTCAGATTTTGGTCTTGCAGGAACCAAACCAGTTAGTACTCCTTTGGAGGTTAATCAAAGGTTCACTAGTCAGGAGTTTGACATGCATTTGGAACCTCAGGAAGCACATGAAGATATGATACTCAGTGATCCCTCAAGCTATCAGAAACTGGTTGGTAAGTTACTTTACCTCACCATGACAAGGCCGGATACTAGCTATGCAGTACCGAATCTTTGCCAATTTATGCACAAACCAAAGAAATCTCACATGGAGGGTGCATTGAGGGTGGTCAAATATTTGAAGAATGCACCAGGTTTAGGAATTATGTTGTCATCCAAAGCCTCCAAGCAACTCTCAGTTTATTGTGATGCTGACTGGGCCACTTGTCCTATGACAAGGAAGTCTGTGAGTGGTTTTGTAGTAAAGATTGGAGACTCTTTGATTTCATGGAAGTCGAAGAAACAAAACACAGTGTCAAGGAGTTCGGCTGAAGCAGAATATAGGAGCATGGCTAATGCAATGGCAGAAATTGTATGGTTAATAGGTTTGTACAAAGAGTTGAAAGTGGAATTGGAATTGCCAGTAAGACTATTTTGTGATAGTAAAGCAGCACTTCAAATTGCTGCTAATCCTATATACCATGAAAGGACGAAACATATAAAGATTGATTGTCATTTCATTCGAGAAAAGATACAAGAGGGCCTTATTCAAACAGACCACGTACCTTCAAAAATGCAACTGGCAGATGTACTGACAAAGAGTTTGGGAAGAACTCAACACGATTTTTTACTGTCCAAGCTTGGTGTATATAATCTGTTTGCACCGTACAGCTTGAGGGGGAGTATTGAAGACACTACAATTAGTTAGCTAGTTAGTAATTAGCTAAATTAGTTAGTTAGTTGTAGATTAGCTGACGTGGCAGAGTAGTTAGTTAATAGTACAAGTTAGTTATAACTAACTTGATCAGTGGTGTGAAGTAAAGCACATGTATATATATTCTGTAGAATACTCTGTAACCAACTCATTCAATACAATACACAATTTTATTCTTTACTATTGATCCTCTTCCTCTTAGACTCACAGAACCTCCATTGGAGGACTTAACACATTTTATCCCCTCATTTTTTAATTTGATTAATTAAATTCAATTCTAACCGTGTAATAAAAACGTAAAAAGAGTAGATCAAAGTGTGAAAACTTTTATGCCATGGAATATAGCATCAAAATGGCAATTTCATTGTCTGCAGATCTTATTTTTGTTTATTAACATAAATATGAGGGTTCAAACAAACTGAATTTCCTTTAAATTGGAACCTAATATGAATAATTTAAAGAATTAAAAATAAACATTTAATTTTGAGTAAGAGCCAGGTCACGGAAACATTTTTCCATTCGACATAATTCCCTTGCGACATGAATAATGTATGGCCTATCATCTCCTTTCAAAGTTGTGCATTTCTTAACGAGATCCAAGTAGTCCTCCAATTGTTGTTGAATCTCAATTCCATGTTCTTCTAAGATAGTAGGATCTGCAATATCCATTACATTACTCTCTTTAATATAACGATCGACAAAATTGGTTGGAAATTTTTTTAGATCTATGGTCTCTTCCAGAATTACAGAATCCATAAAGTTATCTTCTTCAACAGCGTCTTCTTCATCAATATCTGTTGTCTCTTTTGAATTCACTCTATCTATAATATCATACGCTGTCTTTCCTGTTAATAGTAGAAAGAGAAGAATCCCAAAGCTGTAGACATCAGTTTTTTGAGTAATAATACTCTGGTAGTAATATTCTGGATCTACATACCCTAATGTTCCACACACACCATCACGTTGTAGCTCCAATTCCCCTGGAGGTAATGATATGGAGAGTGAGAAGTCCACTATTTTGGCAACACCACTCTTGTCATCTATTATCACTTTGTAAGGCTTTATATCTCTGTGGATGATGGGCGTAGTAAATTCAGTATGGAGGAAAAGGATTGCAGAAGCAACCTCACGTGCAACTCGTAATCTATTTCCCCAAGATAGCGATTTTCTATTAAGATTATCCTTTTTGAAAAGTAGATCGAAAAGGGATATACCTTCAACATACTCATACACCATAACTGGTTGTTCAAATTCTAGACAGCAACCGACAAGTCTCAACACATTCTTCAGATGACTCATCTGAGCAGTAATCGCAATATCTCGGTGGATATTGTTAAATTCACATGTATTGAACCTAACTAAAACGGGGCGGTTGTCTAGTAATCCCGTAACCATAGACACATCAGAAAGGTCCATTTTGCTTTTAGAGTGTCTGATTGCATTGTGGATCTCTATGGCAGAGAAGTAACGGATGGGAATTCTGCAATTTCCATCGCATAAAGCAAGAAGCTCCTCAAGCACCGCACTTCCATTCTGTAAATAACAATCATGCTCTTTCTTCCGCTTTTCAGCAGAGACACAGGAAAAAAGTGTTTTCCTTGTGAGTAGTAGTTCCCTGAAGAAAGACATTATTTGCTTCAGAATTGAGATTAGATCCAAAAAGGCATCACCAGTGGGAATGAATGAGTAAGGAAGTAGTGAGGTACCGCTGCTCTTTCTTACTTTGACGCCTGCGTTAAATTCCACACAAAATGACAAAAGATGGAGTTTCCAAGCACTTTCATTTCATTGCCATTGTTTATCAAGATCCATTACGGCACGCTAATTAATTCATACTTATGTTGGTTTATGTTGACCTTTTTTATTAACCCTCAGTGAATTAGTGAAGTAATGCATATTCATTAAGAAAAAATATTCAATGCATAATTTAAACTATATTTTTCACTATTTTCCTTGAGAAATTATAAATATAACTTTGTAGTAAGTAGAACTTCTTTTATCCCTAATTACTTGTCCACTTTTGAAATTGACACACCTATTAAGAAAACAAATAATTGACATAGTGAGTTTACCGTTTTACCCTTATTAATTATGAAGTGGATGAATAAAAACTTAAAATCTTCAAGAAGTTCTACATTTTCCAAAATCAATTAATTGAGGGTATAATTGGTAAATATTTTTTTTATCCTTTCTTGATATGTCAAAATGGACAAGTAAAAATGAAAATTGGACAAGTAATTAGAGACACAGGGAGTAAATTTTATTTCCTACGAAATATCAAACTTCATTAAAAAGAAAAGAGCAAATATGAAAAAAATAATTCAACATCCATCTTAAACTTATGAAAATCTTAGTAACTCCGTTGTTGGTTACGTATACTCCCACCTTGTTTGTGAGGATTCGATTCCCCACGCTATTATCCCCTTCCCATTTCCCCTTCCGATCCCCTAACCCCAATTTTTTAGAAGATAAATAAAACTTTGAACAATTTCATTATTTTGAGTAATGAAAAAAACTCCAAAAATTCACCTAAAATGAAATATGGATAAATTCTTTTGGCCCAAATGGCTTTTGACACAATAAACTGATTTTCATTTTGACATTTTTATCCTTCCCTTCCAAATTTAATATTTTTAAATTAATTAATTTTGGAAAATAGTGATATTAATCTCTGTATTATTGCATACTTCCAGTTTTAATTCGTTTGTTATTTGACGGTGTACATTTGACCTTTAATTATTTATAGTGTGGGGTTTTAGTCCTTGAAGTTAACAAAAGTTTATTATTTAACAAAATGATTATTTTAAAATATATAAAATAAAATAAATTAAAGGGTTGGTGATTCTAAAAGCTTGAAGAATTATGTGTATGAGAAAAAATTAAATGTAGTAAAAACAAAATGTTAAATTTTTTAGGACATCATTGAATATTAATAGCCTTAAGGAGCATGTCCACCTACTAAACCCTTTCAAATATAATCATATTTAACCTTGATCAGTAACCATTGAAAAAGACAAGAAGAATAAGTTGCTAATAAATAAAAAAAAACAGAGCAAATAGAGAAACAAATGAGTTAAATTTATATACATAATTGTTCAAGCATTTAACATCACTAACCTGTTATTTTATTTTTATATATTTTCAAATAAACATTTTGTTAAATAGTTAACTTTTGTTAACTTTAAGGACCAAATTCACACACTTCAAATAATTGAATGTTAAATGTGCATAGTCAAATAACACAAGGATTAAAACTGAAATCATGCGATAATATACGTACAATAACATCTATTATAATGACGTGAATCTGGCCTAGCTCATGTTAATTTGAGAATTCTATGATTTCTTAGCAGAGAAGATATTTAACATATTCAAATGGCAAATGACAAATACAAAACTACCGACAATTACAAGCAGTGTCATTGTCTTAATTTAATTTCTCAATGACAAATGCAAAACTAACCTGATCCCATTTAATCTTTTTGTGGATTTGGATTTTGGTGGTGGTATTAAATCATTTGATTTCAATCCACCGGATTCATATTTATAAAAGGAAAACTAATTTTACACGAGGTTTGGTCTACATTATCCAGATCCTAATTGCTCAAGACGATCGATTTGGCAGCAAACGTACTCATGAACAATAATTTGTACTACAAAGTGTAGCCCATAAGAAAGTATTTCAAGAGAGTGAAGTAGTTGAACTTCACCTCATGGAGCTTAAAGACTTGTGAGATTCCTTGTTTATGCGAGGTAGCAGAGCTTTGCAGAGGAATTGGATTAACTGAAGATGACGCTGTTGCCGATGCCTATACGCCTCTTCATCTCCCTCCGTGATTTTTTAGGAAAGTACTGCTGCTAACTAAGATATTGTTTTGTCTCTTTAGATTTTGACTTTTCTTTTTGCTCTGTTTAAGTCTCAAACTTTAGGCTTAAAAAAAAATAAAAATTCATTATCTGCGGATATCATTTTTTGTTCAACATAAATACTATGATTGTACAAATAAACTGAATTACCTTTAAGTTGGAACCTAATATGAATACGTTGAGGAATTAAAATAAACATTTAATTTTGACCAAGTGTACTGAGGGCACAGAAACACTTGTCAATTCGACCTAATTCCCTTGCAACATGAATAATGTATGGTCTATCATCTCCCTTATCAGCTGTGCATTTCTTAATAAGATTCAAGCAGTCTTTCAATTGTTGTTGAATCTCAATTCCATGCTCTTCTAAGATAGCTGGATCCGTAATATCCATTACATTACTCTCATTAATATAACGATCCACAAAGTTGATTGGAAGAGTTTTAGAATCTATTGTCGAATCCACTCTATCCATAGGATTATCCTCTTCAGTATTGGATTTAGCGTCTAATTCAAAATCTATTCTCTCTTTTGAATCCACTCTTTTCATAATATCGTACACTTTCTTTCCGGTAAATAGCTGAAAGAGAAGAATCCCAAAGCTGTAGACATCAGTTTTTTGAGTAATAATCAACTGGTGCTTATATTCTGGAGCTATATACCCAACTGTTCCACGCACACCATTATGATCTAGTAACTCCAATTCCCCTGGAGGCAATGATATGGAGAGTGCGAAGTTCAATATTTTGGCAGTGCCGCTGTTCTGATCTATTATCACATTGTGAGGCTTTATATTTCTGTGGATGATGGGCGTAGTAAATTCAGTATGCAGGAAAACTATTGCAGAAGCAACCTCACGTGCAACTCGTAATCTATTTCCCCAACATAATAGAGATTTTCTATTAAGATTATCCTTTTTGAAAAGTAGATCGAAAAGAGATATAGCTTCAACATGTTCATACACCATCACTGGCTGTTCAAATTCTAGACAGCAACCGACAAGTCTCAACACATTCTTCAGATGACTCATCTGAGCAGTAATTGCTACATCTCTGTGGATATTGAATGTTGTACATGTATTGAACCTAACTAAAACAAGGCGGTTGTCAAGTGATCCCGTAACCATCGACACCATGGCAAGGTCCATTTTGGTTTTAGAATGTTTAATTGCATTGTGGATCTCAGTGGCAGTGAAGTAACGGATGGGAATTCTGCAATTTCCGTCGCATAAAGCAAGAAGCTCCTCAAGTACGCAACTTCCATTCTTCAAATAACAATCTTTCTCTTTCTTCCGCCTTGCTGCAGAGGCAGAGGAAAAAAGTATTTTCCTTTTGAGTCCCATGAAGAAAGGCATTTTTCTTTGCTCTAATTTTGAAGTGACTAATCGTTTGGATGATGAATTGGGATTGAAATAAAGCATATCAGTAGTACTGTAAGTAATGTATGAACAAGTTAGAAGAAGTTTCCTGCTGGTCTTAATTTGTGGATTCAATTCCACACAAAATTGAATTTGCAAGCACTTTGATTGAAAATTCCATGAATGGGTGATAACGATGGGGGAGGCATAAGTCATAACAGTGGGGGTCACAAGATGGAATTCATGCAATTGGAAACGCGTCTGCCATATAATGCCTTACTTTGTAAGTTAAGGCTCCATTAATTTTTAGATAAGATGTCACTGACAATATATTTTTGATACTTTAAACAAACTTATAATTATTACTTTTTTTTTTTTGTGTATACATAACTTGAAATTTTCTATTTCAATTATACTTTTAGAATAAATTATTTCAATTTAATTTTAATTTTTATGATCGCGCGATTGAATTCACTAGTTAGATCGCAAAAAGAAGAAAAGTTGCAACACTTTTGGTGATATCATGAATTTTAGTGGATAAAAGTTGAAAGCTTTTTAGCTAATCATATTTTACCCATGAATATTCATATTTCTATGGGTCGAATATGAGTTTAAATCCATATTTTACCCATCTGAAAAATCACTCACCCAACCCATGAAGATATGGGCGGGTTGGACAGGTCACCAAAATATGGGCTCATTTTACCGACACTAGTTGTCACCAATTTAGATTTCACACTCATTAAAAAATTAAGTAAGTTTACTATTGTACCCCTATCTAATATTGTCTTAAAGTCAAACTTTCAACAAATGATAAATATGTTTATTGAAAATTAAATCAACATTAATTGATTTAAAAAATAAATCAACATTAATTTATATTAAATGTTGCAAAGTGAAATTAAAAAACAATCTTTTCATATTCCATTATATTCCATGAAGACTAAATTATTAATGAAATATATTATAATTGAAATGCATGTAACTACTCTCTTAAATTTTTAAGCCTGAAATGGAGTCAAAATTTCCTTTTTGAAGATCAGATTTTCTATTGAGGGATTATAGGGGTTTTGAGTTTTTATATTGATTACGTGGCAGCCTCATTAATAAGGAATTTACTTTATATTTTTTTCACAACATATATGTTAAATTTCACTCTTTACTTTTCACTGTGTTAAACACAAGTCTTTCCTAATAAACTAAGGACCCGGCTCCCCTTCCGTGTATATCACCTCCGGTTCCCAGGAGCTACACACTAGAGGGGAGCCGGGTAGATAAAGTAACACTGCTTCAAAATGGGATCGGCTCCCCTCCAGTGTGAATCAACTCCAATTTCTCCGGTTCCCTAGACCAAGAGCAAGGGCTCCGAAACACTTTTCAATTTGGTATAATTCTCTTGCGACATGAATCATGTATGGTCTATCATCTCCCTGGTCAGCTGTGCATTTCTTAACAAGATCCAAGTAATCTTCCAGTTGTTGTTGAATCTCAATTCCATGCTCCTCTAAGATAGTAGGATCCGCTATATCCATTACATTACCTTCTTTAATATTACTATCAACAAAGTAACTGGTTGGAAGATTTTTAAAATCTGTTGTTTCTTTTGAATTTTTAGAATTCACTCTACCCATAGTATCGTACACTGTTTTTCCTGTTAATAGTTGAAAGAGAAGAACCCCAAAGCTGTAGACATCAGTTTTTTGAGTAATAATAAACTGGTGGATATATTCTGGAGCTGTATACCCGAGTGTTCCGAGCGCACCATCATCTAGTAACTCCAATTTCCCTGGAGGCAATGATATGGAGAGTGTGAAGTTCAATATTTTAGCAATGCCACTCTTCTGATCAACTATCACATTGTGTTGCTTTATATTTCTGTGGATGATGGGCGTAGTAAATTCAGTATGTAGGAAAACTATTGCAGAAGCAACCTCACATGCAACTCGTAATCGATTTCCCCAACATAGTGATTTACTATTTTGATCATCACCATTATCCTTTTTGTAAAGTAAATCGAAAAGAGATATAGCTTCAACATATTCAGACACCATAACTGGTTCTTCAAATTCTAGACAGCAACCGACAAGTCTCAACACATTCTTCAGATGACTCATCTGAGCAGTAATCGCTATATCTCGGTGGATATTGCTGAATGAACATGTATTGAACCTAACTAAAACGGGGCGGTTGTCTAGCGATCCTGTAACCGTAGACTCATTGGCAAGCTCCATTATTGTGGTTTAAGAGTGTCTAATTGCATTCTGTATCGCTATGGCAGTGAAGTAACGGATGGGAATTCTGCAATTTCCGTCGCATAAAGCAAGAAGCTCCTCAAGTACGGCACTTCCATTCTTTAAATAACAATCATGCTCTTTCTTCCGCCTTTCAGCAGAGGCAGAGGAAAAAAGTTTTTTACTTGCGAGTAGTAGTCCCTTGAAGAAAGACATTATTTACTTGCTCTAATTTAGAAGTGACTAGTATCCATGAATTGGGATTAACTCCAATAAGGCATATCAGTAGTAGTTAACAAGTCGGAAGAAGATTCCTGCTGGTCTTAATTTGTGCATTCAATTCCATACAAATTGAGTTTCCAAGTACTTCCATTGCAATTGTTTATCAAGTTCCATTATGCCCTAATGTCGTTGTCCTATCAATTAATATTTGGTTTTTGGATTTAGCTAATGAAACACAAAAGTTTATGCCTCCAGTTTTTTGTAGCAAATATTAGGGGCAGTAAAGTTATCTTTGTTTTGTGGTTAATTTACAGGATATTTTACAAAAAACGAAGTTTAGCTTGTGATTTACACTCAAAGGGGAGCAGCTGTGGGCCGGGTTAAAAAAAATATTCAAAACTTGGAGACAGTTCTAATGTTTCCACATTTAAGCCAAGTATATATTTCCTCATACGTAAACTAACGAGCTTAAAAAGAAGTATGCATTTTCAAATCATCATGGCTTTGGCCTTTGGTTAGACCTAAAGTGCCTGTTTTAGTCCATAAAGTGACTTAACTAATCTACAGACCAGACCTTCTTCCTCCTTATTTTGTTGAAATCCCTGAGGTAGTTGCATGTACACCTCTTCCATCAGATCTCCTTGCAAAAAAGCATTGTAAACATCCATTTGCTGAATGTTCCAACCCTTTGATGCAGCAATAGATAGGACTGTCCTCACTGTGACCATTTTAACAACAGGAGAAAAAGTCTCCTGATAATCCAGTCCCTCTTTCTGGTTGTAACCCTTGGCCACCAGCCTGGCCTTAAACCTTTCAATCTGTCCATCAGCTTTGTACTTGATTTTATACACCCATTTACATCCAATGGCCCTTTTTCCAAGAGGCAATGCAACTAGTTTCCAAGTCTTGTTCTCTTCCAAGGCCTTGATCTCCTCCTTCATGGCTTGAACCCATCTATCATCATTCTTAGCCTGGTGATATGTACTTGGTTCAGTTTCCATTGAAGAATTGGCAATGCAACATTGATAGGACTTTGAAAGACAATTGTAATCAACACTGTCTACAATAGAGTAAAGACAATTAGACTGATTGGATTTCTTTGAGGTCACAAAATCCTTTTGCCAAATTGGAGCCTTGCTGGTTCTGGTTGATCTTCTTTGTACCTGCTGTGGTGTGTCTCCAAGAACAGGTACATGTGTTGTGTCTCCAGGATGAACCACCTGATGTGATGTGTCAATCTCTAGTGCATTTGGTGTAACTGCAACAACTTCACTCCTATTCTCTACAATTGGAGAATCAAGCACCATATCTGTTTCATCATCCATAAAACTTGATGGCATGATAACACTATTCTGCAAAGCATCTGTGGGGTGAGCTTGAAAAGGAAAAATTGTTTCAACAAAGGTCACGTCCCTACTGATAAAAAATGTTTTATGTTCAAGATCATATAACCTATATCCTTTTTGTGTTATACCATATCCCATCAAAACAGATCTTGTAGACCTTGGACCAAATTTGTCTACCTTATGTGGAATAGTGGCATGGCATAAACACCCTATGATCCTCATATAAGATAAATCAGGTTGTTTCCCAAACATTACTTCAAAAGAAGAGACATTATGTAATACAGATAGAGGAATTCTATTTATGATGTGTACAGCTGCTAATATGCACTCTCCCCAGAATTTGATAGGTAAGTGTCCCTGGAACCTGATTGCTCTAGCTGTTTCAAGGATGTGTCGGTGCTTCCTTTCTACCACACCATTCTGCTGAGGAGTGTGTGGACATGAACTTTGATGTATAATCCCATGACTCTTGAATAATTCAGCACATTGAGAGTTAAAGAACTCTCCTCCATTGTCTGATCTAACCATTTTAATTTGCAAATTAAATTGTATTCTAATCATCAGGACAAACTATTTTAGCACTGTGGAAACATCTGATTTAAGATGTAGTAAAAATACCCAAGTCCATCTCGAATGATCATCAACCAATGTAAGAAAAAACTTCATGTTATTATATGTGGTTGCTTTATAAGGTCCCCATACATCCAAATGAACCAAATCAAAACATCTAGTGCTTCTACTACTGCATGATCTAAAAGGCAATCTGATTTGTCGAGCTAGTGGACATACATCACAATGAGTCATAGTTGGACTCTTATTGAACTTAAGCATACTAATTTTTCTAATCACATTCATAGGCACATGCCCTAATCTCTTATGCCAAGTGACATCATTCTCACATCCTTTTGCTGCTACTAATGAACTTGCTCCTTGTTGTGTTTGAACTGGATTTCGAGGCCTCAGCAGATATAATCCATCTTCCTCTTTACCAATCTCCTTCACTTTCCCAGTGAAGAGATCCTGAAGGATAAAGAAATCAGGGAAAAATACAACACAACAATTCAACTCCCTAGTCAACTTAGACACTGATAAGAGATTAAATTTAAATTCTGGCACACAAAGTACATCCTCAATAACTTCACCTTCTGTTAGTTGAGAACTTCCTGAGTGTGTAATAGTTGTTGAGTCACCTGTAGCTATTTGAACTTTTCCTGGATTCACTGTCGAACCACGATTCAGTAGTGTTTTAGAACTAACCATATGATTGGTTGCCCCACTATCTACTATCCAATTGAAACAACATCTAACAACATCATTACAAGAAGAAGTACCTGCAAATATACCTGCCATATTTGCACTAGACTCATTTGTGTTGGATTTATTTATCATCTGCAATATTTGATTGTACTGATTTGGTGTGAAGTAAGGAACAGGTCCATCTCCATTACTTGCACCTCCAGGCCTCTGCAATGCTTGCATCTGTGGAGTATGATAACAATTATCTCTCATGCCTTCATCTTGAAGTCTATGTGATGTTTGTGCCATGTTAACCCTTTTCTTCCCTTTCCAATCTGGAGGATAACCAATCAACTGAAAACAAATTTCCTTGGTGTGACCTTGCATATTACAGTGAGTGCAATGTTTCAGTTTGTTACAATCGTCCCTAGTGTGTCCTTTCATATCACAATGATTGCAATAAGGACCATGTCGTTGAACCTGTCCATAACCTCTTCCTCCCCTACCTCTGGAACCTGGTCCTCCAAAGGTGTAACCACCAGATTTACTAGTGAGTAAGGCAGTGGGATCGATGCTTTCCCCTCCTCCATAACAATCACCACTCAATGATCTTTGACTCTCATCTTGCACAATCATAGCACAACACTGATTCACACTAGGTGGTGGATTCATCATAAGGATCTGGCTTCTAGCCTGACCATAACTATCATTTAATCCCATGAGGAATTGCAGCAATTGTTGCCTACCCATACTATCCACATATTCCTTCGATTTTGTACATTCACAGGAAGAAGAAGGCACTATCGATTCAAACTCATCCCATAGGTCTTTTAATCTCGAGTAATATACAGAAACAGGGGAAGTACCTTGAGTGAGCGTGACGATGGCTTTGTGAAGATGAAAAACTCTAGACATGTTCACCTTATCAAATTGTTCCTTCAGATCGGACCATACCAAGGCAAATCATAGCTATGGATTTCCTATCTAAAGTTGTGGAAAAATTCTCAAATTTCATGATCAATAATGTTGGGTAGCTCATTTACTACAATAGAAACATCAAATCTCTGGATAAAGAATCTGATAAACTGGATATAATCAGAAATGAGGTGAAGCAAGAAGCGGAGGCTGCCCGGAGAAACATACAAGTCATTTCTCCCAGTGTTGAGGCTTGGTTAACTAGTGTTGATACCACTACTGCAGATGTGGCTACTGTTAAACTGCTCAAGGATCACACATTCAGAGATGAACTATTGGGAAAACTGATCTCTTCATTCCATATCAAAAGAGTATAAAACTCTGTACACAACTCCACAATCAAAACTTACAAAACTACTCTAAGCTAATGAATACATTGTAATATATACACACACTAACTGACCTAAATACAATGGAAAATATCTTCTACTGCTAACAACCTTCTAACTAACTTTCACGTTAAATCTAACGCCAAGTTAACTGACTAACGGTGACCACACAGCTGACTTGCTCCAGTAGTCTGTTCCAACTCAACTGTTTGCAATCTCCTTATTATATTCTCTAATAGCAATGACATGGAGAGTGTGAAGTTCAATATTTTAGCAACGCCACTCTTCTGATCAACTATCACATTGTGTGGCTTTATATTTCTGTGGATGATGGGCGTAGTAAATTCAGTATGCAAGAAAACTATTGCAGAAGAAACCTCACATGCAACTCGTAATCGATTTCCCCAAGATAGCGATTTACTATTTTGATCATCACCATTATCCTTTTTGTAAAGTAGATCGAAAAGAGATATAGCTTCAACATATTCATACACCATAACTGGTTGTTCAAATTCTAGACAGCAACCGACAAGTCTCAACACATTCTTCAGATGACTCATCTGAGCAGTAATCACTATATCTCGGTGGATATTGTTGAATGAATATGTACTGAACCTAACTAAAACGGGGCGGTTGTCTAGCGATCCCGTAACCATACACTCATCGGCAGAGGCGAATCTAGGATTTTTCGAACATGGGTGTACCAAGTAAAATGTATTGAAGTGGGAATTGATCCTTAATCCTCAAGGTCAAAAGCTCAACATTTAACCATGTGGACCATTTAGATTTCTTGTAATATGGGTGCCAAAATATAATATTATACAAATCTTAGAATATATATATATATATATATATAAAATATCTAATTTTACAAAGAGACCACGGGTGCTGGTGCCCTATTTTTTGGCTCTAAATTCGCCACTGCTCATCGGCAAGCTCCATTATTGTGGTTTTAGAGTGTCTAATTGCATTGTGGATCTCTATGGCAGTGTAGTAACGGCTGGGAATTCTGCAATTTCCGTCGCATAAAGCAAGAAGCTCATCAAGCACAAAACTTCCATTCTTAAATTAACAACCATTCTATGTGTTATATTCAAGATGTTTTGATGATCTCCACAAATGCAGGGACCCGGTCCCTAACAGAGTACTCTCGTCCAAATTCAAAATGGGGTACAACTATAAAGCCGTCTTGTCAGGTTGGTTTGTGAGAAGTACAGTGTACTTCACCAATAGGAAGCGTGGACGAGGTTGTTTGTTTTAGTGGTCAAAACTCTTGTTGATGAATGATATATACAACAATAAACAAACAACATTATTCATTCAAGAGCCAGCAAGTCTTTTCAAGAACTCACAAAGAAAACACTGCAAGGGACCTGGTCCCGAAAAGACTGCGTATGTGAAAAGTCAAACGACAGCTGTCTAAAAGCTGTAACATCTGACATGGTTGGTGCACAACTTTTCAGAACAGCAGGCTCTCAGCCAACGGTGTCTTCCCAAGGAGTTTGTGTCCTTTTGATATAGTCTCTTCTACAAAACACAAACTCAAGATTTGACAAACAAAGATTTGAATTTCTGAAATTCATAAGCTTACAAAGAGAAGACCATCTTCAAGGAAGAACACTGTTCAACTCAACAAAGGGACCTGATAGAGTGTTGAAGAGTCTTTGTTGTATTTTGAGCTTTGTATCTTATGTGCTTAAATTGTAAATATACTCCTAAGTTATAAAGGATAGTAGTTCAGTGCCTGTCAAAGTATTTAGTTTGAGTCGTATTAACTAGAGTTAGTTAGTCGAATCATCTTGTTTTAGTCAAGCCTTTTTACATCATTGTTTTGATGTTCTCTTGGGTAGAGTTGCCTAGGAGGGTCAATTAGAGTTAGTTGATGTGTGGTGCAACAAAGTTGCTGCTCGTTTAAGCTCTTGTAATGGAGATCGGAGTTGGTGGCTAGAGTTAGTCTTGGGGGTTCTTAAAGTCTAGATCAACTAAAGTTAGTTGGTGTAGTGGGCAATAGGATTATTGCTTTGGCTCGTTTAAGTAATAGGAGTATTACTTAATGTGGGATTAGGGTGTTAATCTCTCACTGTTGTGGTTGTAATCTATGTTTCACTTTTGCTTGAGAAGATTAGTGAAAACAATTGGAAAATCCTGTGTGGCAGGTCGTGGTTTTACTCCCTTGAGCAAGGAGATTTTCACGTAAAATTCTTGTGCCTGTTTTACATTGTGCTATTTACTTTCTGCACTTTAATTCTGTAGAGGGACCTGATCTGTGATCACTGGTGGACGCATACATTCCAACACTCTGTCTTCTGCCTTTGCAGAGGAAAAAAGTTTTTTCTTTGCGAGTAGTAGTCCCTTGAAGAAAGACATTATTTGCTTGCTCTAATTTAGAATTGGGATTAAACCCAATAAGGCATCCATCACTAGCTAGTAGTTAACAAGTCGGAAGAAGCTTCCTTCTGGTCTTAATTTGTGCATTCAATTCCATACAAATTGAGTTTCCAAGTACTTTCATTGCAATTGTTTATCAAGTTCCATTATGCCCTAATGTCGTTGTCCTATCAATTAATATTTGATTTTTGGATTTAGCTAATGAAACACAAAACTTTATGTGGTGTATCAAGCCTCAGTTTTTTTTTTCCATAACTGTTACGGCAATTAATAATTTATTTATTCATTGTAGTGACCGAACACACTATTTCCTATTTTGTTTTAATTAATAAACGTACAATAACATCAATTATAATGACGTGAACCTGCAGGCCTTGCTCTTGTTAATTCGAGAATTCTATGCTTTCCTAGCAAAGAAGAAATTTAACATATCCAAATGGCCGGCAAATGACAAATACAAAACTACGGATAAATTTCCTTGAAATTGGAACCTAATATGAATACCTCTAAATATTTAATTTTGACCAAGAGAGAGGGCACATAAACACTCTTCAATTCGACATAATTCCCTTGAGACATGAATCATATATGATCTATCATCTCCCTTGTCAGCTATGCATTTCTTAACAAGATCCAAGTAGTCTTCCAACTATTGTTGATCCAACAAAACACATATAAGTGGATTGCCATTTTGTTAGGGACAAACTTCAACAAGGATTAATTGCACTTCATCATATTTCCACACATTCACATCAAGCATACATTTTTACCAAGGCCTTGACTGGAGTCCAGCATTCAACAATTCAAAGCAAGTTGTTTGTACTTATTGCACCTCCTCCAACTTGAGGGGCGATAGAATTAGTGAGTAAAGTCAAGGTAGTTAAAGTGTTAGTGAAAAATTACAAAATTACAAAATAACAAAAATACAAAATTACAATTGAAAATAAAACGAAGAAACAATAATCTCTTCAAGTTGAGGGACGGATATCTCGCTCTCTTTAAGGAGATTCAAATCCACTACAACAAATGTTTTACACCGGTCCAATAGTAGTCCTTCTTGACTTGTCCCCTCCAAGATACAACAACCTAATCACAAAATATAACTCAACAACTCTGGACAAGAGATGAGTCCAAAACTCCACAAAAAGAACACCTCCCTTCAACTAATAAGAACTCTCTTTTTTGACTAACTTTATGCACTCTCTATTTTCTTGTGTGTCTAAACCAAATGAAGACCACCATTATTTATAGATGAGATGTCTTTCTAGTAATGAATAGGAAGATAATGGGATAGTAAATAGAAAAGATAAATGGCCTAGAGGTTGCATAGTTTACAAGGCATAATGGAGGAAGAATAATGAGATTTCAATATGGAGGAGTAATGGTCATAGTTGCCCACTACTTGTTCTAACAGAATAACACAACGGCCAACAAAAAATAACCCAAGGTTCTAGCAAAATTTATCAACATTGTAGAATAACAACTAAGCCAAAATTCAACGGACAAAAGTAATGCACTATGACGAGTAATTAGCTATCATGCATGACTTCTTACACGTATGATACCCAAGGAATTGGATAAGCCACTTCAACATAATTTTAATAAGAATATTAAAATGTTCCAAAACCAATATAAAGTAGTTAGAATTGGGAAGTTAGTTAAGTTTGTTAGAATTGTCAGACTAGTTTAACTATCTAATTTCCTTTCTTCTTCTTCTTCTCACTGAGTTAATGAAGAACTCCAGCTTATTTCAGCACTCTTGTTTCCAACTTTGTCAAACTAAAACAGGGCGGTTGTCCAGCAGCAAGCCCGTAACCGTATACTCATCGGCACGGTCCAATATTATGGTTTTAGAGTGTTTTATTGCATTGTTGATCACTATGGCAGAGAAGTAACGGATGGGAATTCTGCAATTTCCATCGCATGAAGCAAGAAGCTCCTCAAGCACCGCACTTCCATTCTTTAAATAACAATCCTTCTCTTTCTTCCGCCTTACAGCAGAAGCAGAGGAAAAAAATGTTTTTCCTTGTGAGTCCCTGATGGGAATCATGCAAATAGCAATGATATCAATTATAATGACGTGAATCTGGCATAACTCATGTTATTTTGAGAATTCTATGATTTCTTAGCAAGAGTAGATATTTAACATATCCAAATGGCAAATGACAAATACAGAACAACCGACAAATTACAAGCAGTAGCACTGTCTGAATTTAATTTCTAAAATTAATTGAATGACAAATGGAAAACTAACACGGTCCATATTTCTTTCTATAAACCGAAAAATTAAGGATGAATCAATCTGAATAGAGCAAAATAAAGATCAAATTGGCAATTTCATTATCTGCAGATATCATTTTTTGTTCAACATAAATATGATGGTACAAACAAACTAAATTACCTTTAAATTGGAATCTAATATGAATACGTTAAGAAATTAAAATAAACATTTAACTTTGACCAAGAGTGTGGGCACATAAACACTTTCCAATTCGACCTAATTCCCTTGCGACATGAATAATGTATGGTCTATCATCTCCCTTGTCAGCTGTGCATTTCTTAACAAGATCCAAGTAGTCTGTCAATTGTTGTTGAATCTCAATTCCATGCTCTTCTAAGATAGTTGGATCCGCAATATCCATTACACTACTCTCTTTAATATAACGATCGACAAAGTTGATTGGAAGATTTTTAGAATCTATTGTCTCTTCCAGAATTACAGAATCCAGTCTATTCATATCACTACCCTCTTCTGTATTGGATATAGGGTATTCTTCAAAATCTATTCTCTCTTTTGAATTTGTAAAATCCACTCTTCTAGAAATACTGTTCATGTCCTTTCCGGTTAATAGCTGAAAGAGAAGAATCCCAAAGCTGTAGACATCAGTTTTTTGAGTAATAATACCCTGCTGGAGATATTCGGGAGCTATATACCCACTTGTTCCACGCACATCATCTACTAACTCCAATTCCCCTGGAGGCAATGCTATGGAGAGTGAGAAGTTCAATATTTTGGAAACCCCGCTGTACTGATCTATTATTACATTGTGAGGCTTTATATTTCTGTGGATGATGGGTGTAGTAAATTCAGTATGGAGGAAAACGATTGTAGAAGCAACCTCACGTGCAACTCGTAAACGATTTCCCCAAGATGGGGATTTTATATTTTGACTATCCTTTTTGTAAATTAGATCGAAAAGAGATATAGCTTCAACATATTCATACACCAGAACTGGTTCTTCAAATTCTAGACAGCAACCGACAAGTCTCAGCACATTCTTGAGATGATTCATCTGAGCAGTAACTGCTATATCTCGGTGGATATTGTTTAATGTACATGTATTGAACCTAACTAAAACAAGGCGGTTGTCTAGCGATCCCATAACCGTAGACCCCTTGGCAAGGTCCATTTTTCTTTTAGAGTGTTTTATTGCATTGTCGATCTCTATGGCAGTAAAGTAACAGATGGGAATTTTGCAATTTCCGTCGCATAAAGCAAGAAACTCCTCAAGCACCAAACTTCCATTATTCAAATAACAATCCTTCTCTTTCTCCCGCCTTTCAGCAGAGGCAGAGGAAAAAATATTTTTTCCTCTGAAGAAAGGCATCTCTAATTTAGAAGTGACACAGTCTCCATGAATTAGGATTAAATACACAATAAGGCATCCATCACTATTAGTGTACTAGATGGAAATATCTCGGACAATAGAAAATTATACAATAGAAAAGACCATCTAAAGAGCTTTATCTTTGCATAATCGCTAAAATAGTGGAAAAAACTATCACAGAAAATTACACATGTTTCCTGCTGGTCTCTTAATTTGTGCATCGACTTTCACACAAATTGAGTTTCCAAGCACTTCCATAGAAAATTCCGTGAATGCTCGAGGATGGAATGCATGCAAGTGGAAAGGCGTCTGCCGACTGTCATGTAATGCCTTACAAGGCATGGGGTCCAGCTCGTCTTATAAGGTGTGAATGTGATCATCATCCTCACGCCCTACTTCGTAAGTTGACGTCTCCCGCATGGCGTGCCCCACGCTTTTGTCCAATTGATTTCTTTTCCATTACTCTTATCCCTTTTCAAATTTGGATTAAAAAAAATAATACTATTACCCTTTAAGCTCCGAATTCGTTTCTTCTTTCGTTATTCAGCTTCGTAATTATTTGCATATTAAAATATATTTCGCATTGTAACACAATCTTTTTGTATTTCTTGCGTTTACTATTTTAAAAATCATAACTCACTGAAGGAATTGAAAAGTAAAAAAGATACTACTAAACTATCCCTCTATTTATATTTAGTTGTTACCAATTTAGATTTTCCACTCATTAAAAATTTAGGTAAATTTATTATTGTATCTCTATTTAATGTTCTCTTAAAATTAAAATTTCAAAAAATATGACAGTAAATATGTTTACCAGAAATCTAAATAACATTAATCCATATCAAATCTTACGATAAAAAAATAATCTTTTCATATTCTCTTATATTTCATGAAGAGTAAATTACAAATGAAATACATGATAATTGAAATGCATTGAACTACTAATTTAAATTTTTGAGCTTGAAATTGGAGTCAAAATTTCAATACGAATTGATTCAAAAAATTTAGTTTGTTTGTTGTGATTCCTTTTTGAAGATCATTTTTATTTTATTTCAAAATTTACTCTCTACTTTTCACCATGTAAAACACAACTCTTCGCTAATAAAACACGGTGCTTCAAAATAGGCATACCTTACCACCAGCTCTGAAAAAACACAATCCCTGTTACGGCACATTAAAGTATCTCAGCCTTTGACCATATATCTCACAGTCTTCCGCATTAGTGCAATAATGTCGTTAATTATGATGGGCGTAGTGATGGTATCGATTCTTATATCTCTTTGCTTAATTAAACAACTATACTATGATGTCATCATGCTTGCTCTTAATATGCTTTGGAGGGAGTGTAAGAAATCTTTAAATAATGTTGTTGAACCAAGATTAGCCTCTGGCTCACGATTAGATGAGGACGTTGGAGACTTGGAAGGGTGTTAGCTCTTCGACAGAACCAAGCCTTCCGCGGCTGAAGAAAGAAAATCCTCAGTCCGGTGATGGGCCAAGAATTCCATTTTTCTATTTAGACATTTAATTGCCCAAATTAGGCTCCGCAAGATATTCTTCTCAATCTCCTTTTGAATCTCCCTGTTCTTCAGACCATTATACATTCAATACTTCCACAATGGTTGCTTAAATCATGTACAGAAAATCAACATAAATTCAAGTATCAAATTTTATGGAAAATTTTAAGCAACATGGATATGTTATGTGCAGACTTGCACAGTTTGTAAGTTTTTTCATAATTTAAGAATTTGGATATTAGAGTAGATCAATCATAATACTAATGAAGTTATTTATGATCACACTTATTACCTAATTATATAGTATAATTTATTATAAGGACGTTAACCTGGCCTAGTTCATCTTAATTCGAGAATTCTATGCTTTACTAGCAGAGATGAAATTTAACATAACCTAAAATGATACAATCTTGTAAACCATTCTGAATATTCATATATCATATCTTGTGATTTAATTAAAGCAATTGATTACCTCACTTCTTAATTAAGCACTGAAGGAGAAATCAATCCGAATAGAGCAAAAGAAAGATCAAATTGACAATTTCATTAAATGTTTGGAACCTCTAAACATTTAATTTTGACCAAGAGCGAAAACACTTTTCAATTCGACACAATTCCCTTGCGACATGAATCATGTATGGTCTATCATCTCCCTTGTCAGCTGTGCATTTCCTAGCAAGGTCCAAGTAGTCTTTCAATTGTTGTTGAATCTCAATTCCATGTTCTTCTAAAATGGTAGCATCCACTATATCTAGTACATTATCCTCTTTAATATAACGATCGACGAGGTTGGTTGCATTTTTCACTCTATCTATATAATTTAATGTCGGTATTGAATATGTACCTTTTACAATTATCATAATATCGTACACGTCCACTCCAGTTAATATCTGAATGAGGAGAATCCCAAAGCTGTAGACATCAGTTTTTTGAGTAATAATTAACTGGTGCTTATATTCTGGAGCTATATACCCCTCTGTTCCACACACACCATCATCTCGTACCTCCAATTCCCCTGGAGGTAATGATATGGAGAGTGAGAAGTTCAATATTTTGGCAACGCCGCTCTTCTCATCTATTATCACATTAGATGGCTTTATATCTCTGTGGATGATAGGCGTAGTAAATTCAGTATGAAGGAAAACGATTGCAGAAGCGACATCACGTGCAACTCGTAATCTATTTCCCCAACATAGCGATTTTCTATTAAGATTAACCTTTTTGAAAAGTAGAACGAAAAGAGATATACCTTCAACATATTCATACACCATAACTGGTTGTTCAAATTCTAGACAGCAACTGATAAGTCTCAACACATTCTTGAGATGACTCATCTGAGCAGTAATCGCTATATCTCGGTGGATATTGAAGAATTTATATCTGTTGAACCTAACTAAAATGGGGCGGTTGTCTAGGGAGCCCGTAACCAAAACCACACCGCGGAGCTCCATTTTGGTTGTAGAGTGTTTAATTGCATAATCGATCTCTATGGTACTGAAGTACCGAATGGGAATTCTGCAATTTCCATCGCATAAAGCAAGAAGCTCCTGAAGCACAGAACTTCCATTCTTTAAATAACAATCCTTCTCTTTCTTCCACCTTACTGCAGAGGCAGAGGAAATAAGTTTTTTCCTTGTGAGTCCCCTGAAGAAAGGCATGCTCTAATTTAGAAGTGACTGACTAGTCTCCATGAATTGGGATTAGTAGTGTAATCTATGAAAAAGTCGGAAGCTGCTTCCTGTTGGTCTTAATTTATCATTTGTGCATTGAATTCCACACTAATTGAGTTTCCAACCACTTCCACTGAAAATTTGACACTTACGCGTGCATTAAGTTTCACACAAAATGACAACAAATGGAGTTTCCAAGCACTTTCATTTCATCAAGTTCCATTTCGACACCTGTCCTGTTTGATATTGCTGTTAGTTGATCAAAAGTATATTAGAAATAAAGGTAACAATAATATATTTTAAAGGATTAAAAAAAAAACTAGAAAAAGTAATAAATAAAGATTTCAGCCCTTTCAAAAAAAAAGTAACAAATACTCTCTCCCTCCCTCATTACTTCTCCATTTTTCAATTTTTAGTTGTCTTTAATTACTTGTCCATTTTATAAAATCAAGAAAGAATAATTTTTTTTACATATTATACCCTTAATTAATTATTTCGAAAAACATAGAAATTCTTGAAAATCTTAAATGTTTAATTCATCTACTTCATAATTAAATAGAGGTAAAATAGTAAACTCACTATGTTAATAATTGTTTTCTTAATAGGTATGTCAATTCAAAAGTGGACAAGTAATTAGACACACATGGAGTAACAAATTTTTATTTTCTTAATATACATATTGTTGACACCCAATTTTGGACCTCCACAATATAGATTAATCATCGAACTTATTAAATTCCAAACGATTTGAAATAATTAGTTTTTATAAAATTTAAAATATTTTGCAAGTTGCTTTTAATTAATTTTATCATTTTTATAATTTTTAAATAATATATATGTTTTATATAATTTTGTATATAATTAGTATATTTTAGAAACATTTCCAAGATCATCTCAAAAAGATTTTATTCCTTACTTAAATATATTTTTAAATTTAGTTTAGTTCAAATTACGATTTTAGTTTTGGATTAGAGTTTATAATTAAATCAATTATTTCACTTTGTTAAGTTTAAGAAGTTCATTAATTAATTTATATTAATTCGTCTTATCTAATTTATAGCCGAATTTATTAAAACTAATTCAATTTTGTTAGGTCTTTTAACTTTGTTTGGAAATAACTGCAATCCTCTAGCCCATTTTCAATTTCAGAAACCCATTACCAATTATTATTTTCCCAAAAGAACCCAGCAAATACCAAGCACACCAAAATTGACCCTGTACTGCTCTTCTTCCTCGCGATAACAAACCTAGAAACTCGCGACCCATCTGCAAATCCAACGCAGCCCAGAATCGCGAACCCGACCCAGCTCTCGCGTCCCTCTCCCTCTCTCCTCTCGACGTGCCCTCTCTGTACGAGAAGGTTCGCGAATCGTAACAGGTGTCTCCATCGTGCTGCTCGACCGTCCTTCTCTCAAAATCGGACGACGCTCCTTTCAATTCCGTTAGGAATGCGTACTATTTCTAGTTGTTCGACCTTATCCTTAAGCAAAGATTCAAATTTTGAATTTAAAAATCATCAAGTTTCCTTTTGTTTTCCCCCCAAAAAACAAGCCCTAATTTCAGCTATAAATATCCCTTTGTTCTTCATTGCTCGAGGTTGGCATTTTTCTTAACCAAGATATAGAGAATAGTGTAATAGAATAGCTAAAAAATACAAACGAAACACATTTGAAAAGGAAGAGAAGAACTAGCTTCGGTCAGAGGATTACTCTTCTATTTTGTTTGCTACCGCTTCCCCACGTTTTTGTCCAATTGATTTCTTTTCCATTACTGTTACCCCATTTTAAATGTGGATTAAAAAAAAAAAAATACTATTACCCTTTAAGCTCCGAATTCGTTTCTTCTTTCTTTATTCAGCTTCGTAATTATTTGCTTATTAAAATATATGTCGCATTGTAACACAATCTTTTTGTATTTTTTGCGTTTACTATTTTCAAATTCTATTTTAAAAATCATAACTCACTGAAGGAATTGAAAAGTAAAAAAGATACTACTAAACTATCCCTCTATTTATATTTAGTTGTTACCAATTTAGATTTTCCACTCATTAAAAATTTAGGTAAATTTATTATTGTATCTCTATTTAATGTTCTCTTAAAATTAAAATTTCAAAAAATATGACAGTAAATATGTTTACCAGAAATCTAAATAACATTAATCCATATCAAATCTTACGATAAAAAAATAATCTTTTCATATTCTCTTATATTTCATGAAGAGTAAATTACAAATGAAATACATGATAATTGAAATGCATTGAACTACTAATTTAAATTTTTGAGCTTGAAATTGGAGTCAAAATTTCAATACGAATTGATTCAAAAAATTTAGTTTGTTTGTTGTGATTCCTTTTTGAAGATCATTTTTATTTTATTTCAAAATTTACTCTCTACTTTTCACCATGTAAAACACAACTCTTCGCTAATAAAACACGGTGCTTCAAAATAGGCATACCTTACCACCAGCTCTGAAAAAACACAATCCCTGTTACGGCACATTAAAGTATCTCAGCCTTTGACCATATATCTCACAGTCTTCCGCATTAGTGCAATTAATGTCGTTAATTATGATGGGCGTAGTGATCTGGTGAATTATATATGAATATACCTTTTAAATTGATATGAAAAGATTTGCAGTTCATAAGCTTTTGTTGTTGCCGGAACTATGTGGTATGGTTC